AAGTGAAATGGAAATATTCTGCATTCCTTTGCAGTCTGAAGGCATGGAACTGCTCTGCGATAGCGGAACCGCGTGTGTGAAGACCCACGAAGGGGTCTGTTTGGTAAAGAAAAGTGCGTGAAACTTATTGCTAATACCGACTGTTCCTTCAGACCGGTGGGAGTTATCGTGGCCGAGCTTTCAGGGCTTCCTTCTAGCAGCTACTTCTTGTCCTCCCAGCTGGCTCCACACCATGAGATAAACCTCCATAACCATCATCGTTTTAGCAGTTTTGTTCTATACAGGTTCAACAGATTCAGCATGGACTCATGCTCTTGACTTCTTATTATTTTTAAATTAACTTTGTTATAAAATCAGTGGATTTTATTTCAAAAATAGCAAAGCTAGGGGTGGGGGTTTTTTTCTGTTTGCGGTTAGTTTCCCCTCTGAATTGTGACAAACCCTGTTTTAGTTTTGGGTTTTTTTGGCATGCTAACACATAAACCTTAATTACAGCTATGTTTTTTTGACCCCAACTAGCTCAGAGACCTAATATCTATTTTAACTGTGGCATTCACAGCAACCCAAGCAAGCAAACACCTTCAGCTGCGGGACCGGTGGAATGATAAGAAGGCTCACGTAAACATCAAGAGTTTTAATTTGTAGGATGTCTGATGGACGCCGCGTGAAGCACAGCGACAGGCGGGCTCCGCAGGTGGAGATAAGAGGCCATGCCAGCCTGCTGGGTGCGCGGGACAGAAGCGGCAAGACAAAGAACAGAAATCAAACAGCTTACGGGAAGCTCCTGAACGGCCGAGTACTTTTCTCCAAATTAAATATAAGTGTTAGCAAGACACTTCATTTATTTTGGTATTAAAGTTGACTTCTGGACATTAAAAATGCATTAAGACAGACTTTTTAAAATTCTATTATCTCCATTAGTCTCCCTTAGGAATCAGCAGTACATTGCTGCCTGAAGATTAATATTGACAATAATTTAAGATAAAGCTGTATTTCTGTACTAGTAACAACCCAAAAAGAAAGAACCCAAAGGTCGAACAAAACCGCAATGTAGCACAAAGGGAGGGATCCGAGAACGTTTCATGTAAGTCACTAGCACATGAATATTTTCGCTGAAAGATCAAAAGAAAAGCCACCTTCCGCAAGGATCTATTAGTAGCTTTTCTGCACATTAAAAATAGAACAAATCCGCCTCGCTTCCCTTTGGTTTCCTTTTACCTTCCTTTCTTTGTACAAACTGTTGATCGCACCGATTGCACAAAATCATTTTGGGCTAAAGGCATTGGTACAAAGACAAGTGACGTCCTCATCGACAGCAGGCATAACGCTTCAGAAGCGTGGAACAAGTAAAGATTCCCAAAGCTAACCATCGGTTATGCGACAAAACCCTACCTCGTTTATCCGCGTTTCCATAACGTGTCCTATGTAATTGCCAGGTTGATGAATTTTCTCATTTCGGGGGAAACAAAGGAAATACCCGTTAGCCAAACAGCAGGGACGCAACACTTGTTTTCAAAAAGACCCCACTCGGGGAGGCTTGAAGACCACGGAGCGTTCAGACAACGCTTAGGGCACCGCTTCTTTATCAGCCCGATACCAGCTGAGCATCCGAGTACGCGGTTATCTATCGGCTGCTCGTGCGCCACTTCCTCCAGCAGCGCATCGGAGCACGGAGAAGAGGTTTGGCATTCAGGCAGGACATCAGGAATGAAGCCGGAGCCTCCCAGCTCCTGGCTCCCAAGGAGGCTTTGGATACTGTTTCCCATAACATCCTCATAGGGAAGCTCAAGAAGTATGGGTTGGATGAGTGGACAGTGAGGTGGATTCGGAACTGGCTGAATGACAGGGCCCAGAGAGTTCTGATCGGCGGGGCAGAGTCCAGTTGGAGGCCGGTAGCTAGTGGAGTTCCCCAGGGCTCGGTACTCGGCCTGGTCTTGTTCAACTTGTTCATCAATGACCTGGACGAGGGGATAGAGTGCACCATCAGCAAGTTCGCTGATGACACAAAACTGGGAGGAGTGGCTGATAAGCCGGAAGGCTGTGCTGCCATTCAGCGGGACCTGGACAGGCTGGGAGCCAGCAATGTGCCCTTGTTGCCAAGAAGGCCAATGGTATCCTGGGGTGTATTAAGAGGAGTGTGGCCAGCAGGTCGAGGGAGGTTCTCCTCCCCCTCTACTCTGCCCTGGTGAGACCCCACCTGGAGTACTGTGTCCAGTTCTGGGCTCCCCAGTTCAAGAAAGACGAGGAACTCCTAGAAAGAGTCCAGAGGAGAGCTACTAGGATGATAAAGGGACTGGAGCATCTCCCCTACGAGGAAAGGCTGAGAGAGTTGGGCTTGTTCAGCCTGAAGAAGAGAAGACTGAGAGGGGATCTCATCAACGCATACAAATATCTTAAGGGCGGAAGTCAAGAGGACGGAAGCAGTCTGTTTGCAGTGGTGTCCAGCGACAGGACTAGGGGCAATGGATGCAAACTGAAACACGAGAGGTTTCAGTTGAATATGAGGAAGAACTTCTTCACTCTGAGGGTGGCAGAGCACTGGAACAGGCTGCCCAGGGAGGTTGTGGAGTCTCCTTCTCTGGAGATATTCAAAGCCCGCCTGGATGAAGTCCTGTGTAGCATGCTCTAGGTGAGCCTGCTTTAGCAGGGGGGTTGGACTAGATGATCTCCTGAGGTCCCTTCCAACCCTTACGATTCTGTGATTCTGTGAGTTACGGGCTGGATGTCCTCCCCCTGAAGGAACCCTGACCAGATGCTCAGCAAGACCTCGTCCTCCTGAGCGTTTCCAGCAGCCACTCCCTTCCTTCCACCAGGCACGACCTCCAGTTTGTATTTTTCTTTCCCAACCTGGCACCGCAGCTCGAGAGGCCGCCAAATTCCTGATAATCTTAAAGCTCAGCGTGAGTGTCATTACTTCGCTGGACTGGGGCAAAGGTCAGCTCTACAGTAAATTGATTTAGTGGGCGCAGGCCTGATGGCTAGCACAGACACAGAGCATCAGCCTAATTACACAGACGCAAGTCCTGCCAGAATCCCTTTATGAGCTTCAGCGCCTGTTCCTGCTGCAAGAGAATTTGAAAAGGCATTCGCAGGGTTTGACTGCAAATTCTGAAAAGGTCATTGGAAGTAAAAGTAATTTGGATGACTCCAATAATTTTGTTTTAGGTCCCCGACGGTGCCTTTTACAGTTTGGGTTTTACTAATTGAATGGGGGTTTTTTTAATTACAAGCATAGTGATTTTAACTGTTACAACCGAGGGTTTTATTTTAACATCTCAAAGCCATTTTCACTGCAATTATGCGCCACCCCTCTTAAAAGCACCTCAAGCAATTAAGACCATTTTATTTTTTTTTTTTTTTGGCCTATAAATAAGAAGTCAAAACATTAGAAAAAGGAGGGGGTTTTGTTGGTTTGGGTTTGTTTTCTTTTACGCACCTTGTGTCCCAGCCACGTTCCATGGTGACCCTCAACTGGAAGGCGCTCCGCATCCCCGGTTAGGTCAGTCAGGGCATCCTGGAAGAAAAGCAGTCACCACGCTTCAGGTAAGTGAGACGCCACGGGCGAGTCAGGAAGGTCTCAGACTCTCCTGAAAGTTTGCCAGGGTGGCCAAGGGTACGTGAAGCCACTGCACAGCGCACTTACTTTTGGAGACAGAGTTCCTCGGATACTAATGACCACCTTCTTCTTATCATGGTCCACAGCCACATAGAAAGGCGTTTCATAAACCTGGAAAAGATCCACGACTGTAACAATCGGGTGGGACATTCCTGTTTAATTATCCTCCTGGCTCAGGGAAAAGGAGGCAGAGCAGCCTGCCAGGTTATGCCTTATGGGTAAGAGCTCCTCTGAATGATCTGATTTTTGGTGGTAGCAAATATTTGTGTCCAAGTGGCAGAATTTCTTGATGGAGAGAGAGGATGGGAAGCTCTAGGGTCAGAAAAAGGCTTAAGTTTCCTTCTTTGTACCACTACACCTGGAAGCACATAAATCCCGTTAGGAAGGGCCTTAGGAGCATGCTCCAAATATGGAGGGGGTTGCAGATTCTCCTTACTGCATCGTGGCAAGACGTGTAAACAATGTCCACTGAGGTCATATTCTCATCCAAGAAGTGGCGCCGGATGGCAATGGCATTGCAGCCACAGCAATTATCCTCTTCAATGGTGACGCTGGGTGCATAGCGGGGCCGGGAGGGACAGAGGCAGCAACATCTGCAGGAGAAAAAGATAGCTCTGAGGAAAAGAGGAACGCGGAAGAGACTGGCTTTAGAGTGGAATGCCTAAGAAAGAAGGGGAAGACAGACCCTGCGTGCCACACCGGCCTCATCTCAACAGCAGTGATTTCCTTCACTTTGTAGGAGCTCTGGCACACACCAGCACACGGCTCACGTTTCAGCATCAAAAAAGGGGCACTGGGATCAGATGTAGTTTTCCTTCTGAGCACCAGAGAGAGCTACAGTGCAACCAGTCCCCAAGGAATCAGCGCATGGTGGGGCCGGGATCTCTCCTCAAAGGATGCCGTGCTTCACAGCACAGTCCTAGACTGCTTCAACACACAAAGCAGCGACATGTGGCCAGCAGGTCGAAGGAGGTGATTCTGCCCCTCTACTCAGCTCTGGTGAGACCTCACCTGGAGTACTGCGTCCAGCTCTGGAGCCCTCAGCACAAGAAGGACATGGAACTGTTGGAACGGGTCCAGAGGAGGGCTACTAAAATGATCCAAGGGCTGGAGCACCTCTCCTATGAGGACAGGCTGAGAGAGTTGGGCTTGTTCAGTCTGGAGAAAAGAAGGCTACGGGGAGACCTGATTGCGGCCTTCCAGTACCTAAAGGGGGCCTATAGGAAAGATGGGGAACGCCTTTTCAGTAGGGCCAGCTGTGTTAGGACAAGGGGAAATGGTTTTAAACTAGAACAGGGTAGGTTCAGGCTAGAGGTAAGGAAGAAATTTTTTACAATGAGGGTGGTAAAACACTGGAACAGGTTGCCCAGAGAGGTAGTGGAGGCCCCATCCCCGGGAACATTCAAGGCCAGGGTTGGTGGGGCTCTGAGCAACCTGATCTAGTTAGCAGTGTCCCTGCTCACTGCAGGGGGGTTGGACTAGATGACCACTGGTGGTCCCTTCCAACCCTAAACATTCTATGATTCTATTTACTGAGATCTAGATCTGTTGATAAGGAAAGAACAGGTCTAGACTGATTCCAGAACAAACCCAGAAGCACAGATTTTTTTTTTTCCCCCCTTATGAGACACTGCACAGATCAAAGTACTCAAAAGGAAGTATACTCCTAATAAGTTCAGAAGTTGCCTGTGTAAGTGCAAAAAGCTCAACCCCAAAGAGAATCTGATGGCAGCGTTCTAGCAGCTGAAAGCAAAACATTTAAAACAATGCAATCCTGACCGGAGCTACAGCGTTGCTACCATGAGGTGAGCACTATACAGCATGGCAGAAAAACAATTAGTCAGAGGGAACACAGCACAAACTCTGGCCAAGTCTTGCCAATGCTTTAATAACGACCCATATGTCAGCTCCCCGCGTATCTGGGCTTGCCGATAAATCTGATTTCTGAGCTCCAAGACGGCTATTTTGACTCAGTGTGAAAGCAGCCTTGTGCCAGATGAGCTCTTTCTGCTGGCTGTTCCAATTGCACAGGACTGGCGTGATCCTTAGTGCACCAGAGAGGACAGAGCACAGGACAGTCTGGTTTATTTAACAAGATAAGCAGATAAGAAACTGTAAGGAAGAGACTGAGGAGAAAGCCACTGGAGTATGAAGGGACGGAGAGATGGAAAGAAAAAGCACGAGAAGGGAGAAGAGGGGAAAAAAGCAGAAGAGAAAAGGAGGAAGAGTAGAAGGGTGATGAAGAGAGCAAAGCGATGAAAGAACGGAGAAGTCTACATCTGGGAGAAAGAGAGGGGAAAAGGGAAGAGAAGGCAGTGATAGACAGGATGGCCACTCACGAGCAGGATCTGGCCAGGCGACAGAGTCCGCACGTGGGCTTCCTCATCAGGTATATGGGCCAGCCATAGGCAGCCAGGGCAAACAGCATGTAGTAACACACCTCTTTGTACCGCTGCATCTCTTGCTGAAAGAGACAAGAGGCTCGCTAAAGGCCTTATTCTCCTTTAGATAGCGAGTTTTTCTACTGTTTCCCTTTTGCCACCGTCGTTAGAGACGCGCACCCTTCTTACCGAGCATCAGCCTTCTCCCTCAGCACCACTGGAACAGCACTGTCAGCGTTTCCAGGTGACTGCAGTGGAGCAAGCTGGTTATACTGGGCAAGATCCTCCCCCTCCCAAGAACATCTCGGTACAGCTACGTCTCTTTGCCTGAGCGGAGGGGCCCCACTAGCTGCTTAACAAAACTAGAAGTTCTAGAGAAGTTTTCCTCTCTGTACCAAACAGCCTGCTGCAAAGGAAGGTCACCCTCTGTGGGTTTTGCCCCCCCCCCCCCCACCCTAGCTGGGGAGACGATAAACTAGTTTAAGCCTCAAAAAGATGAGCTCTCTAAATAGACTGCTTTCAGCCAGTCACAGGCCATAAGGCAGATGCCCAGAGAGGACCCCAAAGCCAGTCTGGGACCACGTGCCTCGGCGCTGCCTTCTGTAAGCTCTGCTGGCATCTCTCCCCACGCACACCTATGCAGGAGGCGAGACGGGCGGAAGGCGAGCAGGAGGTTAGTGTTAAACACAACCCAGTACCGCGCAGCCGCAAGCAGGTTAATCACAGAATCCCTCCATCAGAGATGCTGGGATTGGGTCAGCCTTGCCTCTCTTGCGACAATATCGGCTAATCAAGGGGAGTGAATACAATTTGCCCGACGAAGGGCTGCGACAGCAGCATGCCAGGAGAAAAGCGAAGCTTAATTCACACGGAACAGAACAGACTGCAGTCATTTCCATCCTGAGAACTGCTGACAATCAGCCCCAGGGAGGAAGGCTCCATCTCACCCCAGGCAGCTCCCTGCCCTTATCACGATGGAACCCTGCCTGCTGGGTTCCATGAGCTCTGCTGGTGGTAATTCCATATGGAGCTCTGCAGGACACTCCTGGATGCAGCGCTCAACTCCTACCTCTGGCTTTGGAGAAATCTCACATTGCCTTCCCCCATCAGAGCGGAAATCCTACCACTTCCCACAGAATGGAGATGTTTTAAAAGTGATCTGAAGACAAAAAGCCTCCAGAGAGCAAGCTCTGTTATTCCACTCCATTGTACCAATCTTTAATTTCTTTGATTATTCCAGAAAGGGGCAGAAAGGAGTAAGAGAAGCCACTGAAAAAAAAGAGAACAGGCTACGCGGGGAAGCGTGGTGAGTTTGCAAGGTCACAGGCCAGCGACTTACCGCATTTTTCAGATCCAGATACTTTGTGTTCCTGGTCACTGGCATCCCAGACAGAAAAGCTAAAATGTCATTGTTTGCCTGTAAGTCACAAACATACATAAGAATTCTTCTCTGTGACACCAAGACAAAAATCTACACCTGAGAAACAGAAAGCACTCTGTAACCCAGGACAAGATTCTTCAAGTACCCCAACCAGTCTCTGGTTCCCATTCTGCTGTTCCTATTTCTGCCTGATCTGAGCACTGCTGCCTGAACCCCACCTCTGGGGTAAAAAAACCCAACCAAATGATTTCCTACTGGGTCAACAGTCGGCAAATCTCAATGCCAGTAATGGCTTCAGAATTTAGGAATTTTTACCTAAAGTTCCTCCTGCAGCTTTACCCTGATGCCAGAGTCTTCTCCCCATCACTGTAGAGGAGGAGAAATCCTCCCATTCACTTTCAAGTACCTCCCACCTCCTTCAAGGCAGTTGCCCATTTGGGGTCAAGAGCTAAATCTGTACGTATCACCTGCCCAGAAAAGCCTACAGGTTTCAAAAGCTTGACACAGAGCCAGTTGGGCCCTTTGGGAGTCTCAGAAAAAGCTGCTGAAGAAGTATTTTCATCTTGCAGCTCGGTGACTGGCAATAGCCCATCGCACCACAGAAACAAGGTGGGCAGAGTCATGCAGCTCTCACACAGCGAGTCACGAGAGCAGCAGGTAAGTCAGGGGCCAAGTGAGATGCCCACTGCCTCCACCCACCTCATCCAGCACAGCATTGCGCTTTGCCCGCTGCCGTTGGCGCAGAAGAACCAGGCCTGCAATGATGTCAGATGGGACGATGTCAAGGTCTCGGAAAAACTCAGCAAAAAGGTAGGCGATTTCGGAGTAGGCGTCCTGCAAAAATCCAGGGAGAGAAGAGTTTAGGAGGAGGAGTTTGGGTGTGGGGAGCCTCAAAACAGGACACAGAACGAGAACCTATGCGGCAGCAATGGCCTCATTTCTGTAGCTCTCTCTCTAAAACATCCACGAGATTCCTTCAGGGAACACCATATCTGGAATAATCATATTAATATCTCTTATTTATTTTACACAGTCACACTCCGAGGCCTCAGCTGAGACTGAATTTGTACTAGGCTGGGTGTTTACGCGTGGGCAAGCAGACCACCTCAACATCAAAACAGACAAGGCAGACATGAAGGGAGAGAAATGTTTTCATCTCTACATTGTAAATAAGTCAGAGGAAGTAAGAGGAGAACCAAGCAAATCCAAATCCAGTGTCATCTCAGAGCCATCCTTTCTCCTCCAAAGCAATTTCATTTGAACAAAGGCTATTCAGGAAAAAAAAAAAAAAAAAAAGCACTGATTTTGCCCTATTTAACAGCCTCTTCCATTCTGTAACTCTGTCCTGGGATCCTTCTGCCCATACTTAACCTAGACCTCACCATCCCGGAAAGTAACAGCTTTGGAATCCTGCCACTGCCCAGTCTCTGTAGCTGCTCCTTGTTCACCACCACGCTCTTTGCTACGTGATTTCAAAGAGTTAATCACAGCAAGCATGCGTGACACGCGGCAGCTCTTGGTACTGAAGGAACTGACCAAGTTACCAGGCTTTTCCAGGTTTATCTTGGACTACACCCAAGCAAAAGGGCCTGAAAAGGAAAACCTGGAAAAAGGTCCAAGTCACGAAATGCAGAGTTGCCAGAAGAGAAGGTGACCAAACTCAGAAAAGGAAGACATCACAGGAGGGACAGAAGTGGAAGCGACCCGAGAGGGTCAAGCAAAGGCTCTGAAGCAAGTGACAAAGATATTTCGAGGAGAAACATTATTTTTCCTTTTGCTCTGTAGTACAGAAAACCCCAAGACCTTAAGTGAGAATGGTTTGGAAGGTTGTGGCTAGGCTGGACTGTGGGACAATGCTGATCTGGCCATCGCTCAGACCAGCACGCTTAAAGACAGGGGTGGTCCAGGGGTTGGATCAACAGAAAGTGGGACTGAGCAAGCGCTGTAGTACACAAATGGCTGGCATTTTGACTCCTGCCATCGCTAAACCTTTCCTACCAAGGTCCATCACAACCTTATCCTGAACTTTTAGCCTGTATTTTCACAGCATCCTGTACTCAGCACCTAAAGCCACGCGACTGCAGTCTTGTCTGTAGAAAGCCTGAGCCGTGCACTTGAAGAAAGGCTGATCTTCAGGACAGGATCTCTCCATCTCTCTTCTTTGACAGGCAAGACAGTAAATCCCTTCTCTCCCTAGCAGCCTTGCAGGAAATGACCTACATTCTTTTATCTCTGACAAACTCCTGGAGTGCAAGATTACTTTCTATCATTTTTCACTTGCCTACAAAAGCAAGTTAAGTCACCATTAAGAACGGGGCTTCAGGTGCCAACTGCGCAGGTTTCCACGCCAGCTGTGCCTTTGAAGAGCAAACGGACTGGCATTAACCTCTCCAACATTACAACTGCAGTATCCTTGAAGTACTGACCCCATCAATCTTCGCACAATTCCTATAAGCACAAAAGAAATACAGCCTCGAAGTAAAATACCACCAACACCCATTAACCCGAAGCGACAGCAACACCCCTTAAGACTCTGACCAAAGTAAAAAGCCATAATGGAAGGTCAACACGTATGTTCTGTTCCGAAGGAAGAGTTTTTTGCCGGAGCACCTGATGTTATATTGTAGGATTGACTGTAGCGTTCTGCTACAAACCCCGCAGGCTCTGGGGCCGGCAGAGCTGGTGGAGACTTGGCACTTCAGAGTTCACTCCAGACCCATAAGAACAGATTCTTGCCCCGTTGCCATGTCCACTCTGCAGAGCTTTTTTCCAGCCCAGAGGCCGATGATCCTCTGCTAGAACGTTTTTTCCATGAAGACTGGGAGAGACGGCAATAGATTCATTTCTGACCCATTACATGCACATTCATTCCACACGCTGTCATGCCAGGACACACAAAGTCAGAGCTTGTTTCTGCAAAGAAAAGAGCCTGGAAATCGCTCAGGCTGAATGTAAAATGGCAATTCAATAGCACAAGGAATTTAGAGATCCTGGTATCTGCTTTTATCCTGAAAAAAAAAAAAAAAAAGTAGAAACAGAGAGTCACTGCAGAATGAAAAGTTTGTTAAAAAAAGCTTGACATGAAGTGAAATATTTCGCATTCCTGAATAAAATAGAGTTATTCAGAAACCAGGCCATTCAGATGCCTGGCAGGGCTCCGGAGCCAGGCTGCAGCACCCATGCTGCGCCCTCAGGATACCTGGGCAAGGCGACCTGGTTGTGCTGCCAGGGGGAAGGGAAGCTGATGCTCCCAGAAGTGTCTTTGCTGTGGTAGCACAGGCAAGTGGAGAAGCAGAAATAACCCCCAAGAAAACGCTGCTGTTTGAGCTGCCACGACACAAAGCTTATTTCCTTTCGGTTTTCCAGGTGGATTTTCCTAAGCAGCTCTAGCAGATGATCTGGGAGAGCTGGTGGTCCTGGGCTATGACTTCTCAGCGGGGCCAGCAGGTTGGGGCTGGGACATTCCCTGGGAACACGGTGGCATTTCAGCCAGCGCTGCAGAAGCTTGCTGCTGGGAGGATCGGTGAGCCAGTACATGTTGCTGGATTTCTGCAAAAGGGCTATGACAATTCCTGCAGCCATCGGCGCTTTGGGAAGTGCACCCTGCGGATAACTACACAGCACTTACCAACAAACCCTTCTAATCTAATTCATACTGGTTGCCATCTGCGATGAACAAATGTTCAGGTAGCCCTCACCTGACTCTCCGTTATTCTTACGCAGCTCTTCATCTGATTACACCTTTTGCCTTTGAGGTTAACATCCCAATCTCATTTCTCTTCCTCTACGAGTTCATGTCCCCTCCAATATGCTCCTTTTTCTGCCACATCTTGTAGGAGACCAAACACCAGGCTATATTTAGTGAGGACATCACTGATGTGGTCGGTCCCTTGGTGTTTTCCCTGTCGTTTTCTATGCCCTTCTACTGAAGCTAAACGTTTTTCTGATTTTTTGGCCACTGCTGTGCACTGATGTCTTTGTTGAAGTGTCCTTGATAATTCCCAGCTCTTTTCCTGAGAGGTTGTAACTAATTCAGAGCCTAGCGTATGCAAGCGATTTAAATTGTTTCTTTAGAGGTGCATGCATCACCTCTTCTTTCTTTATGACTTTCTTCTGTCTTTGATAACAATTCCCTGGTTCTGCTTGGTCTTCTGAGAGTTCTCAAACACTCATCATTCTGACCAACTTCAATATTACGATACATCAGGAGGGCAACAAGGATGATGGGGGGACTGGAGCATCTCCTCTAGGAGGAAAGGCTGAGGGAGCTGGGCTTGTTCAGCCTGGAGAAGAGAAGGCTGAGAGGGGATCTCATCAACACCTACAAATATCTCAAGGGTGGGGGGCACGAGGACGGAG